GTTGATATGCATTTTTTTCCCAAATACAGAACAGTCTTAGAAATCATCTTAGAGAAATCAGATTATAAAACTAGAGTAAAACTCTGTTTTTAACTCAGTTATACTCTGCAGCCACATTGTGTTACTCATACTCAAACTGAAGAGTTAACTACAATTAAGCTAGTTCTCTTAAAATTTTGTATTATAGGGTTGCCTCTCTAGGTACAGGAAACTAACATAAAATAAAGATGTTTCTTAAAACTGACTACAGAGGAATACTGAGTCTTTGTTGATAAGAAAATAACATAATCTTTCCCAAAAGGGTCTTTATTATTGTACGCTTTAAAAAACACAAAGCTACTTTTGAGTAGCCAAAACCAAGACAATTTCAAGAATAAGAAAATGCTGAAACCAAAAGAATTATTAGGCTACCAAGGTCACACCAAAAGATCTCAGGAACCAGCTTGAAGAAGCTCTCACTAGCCACAGATAGAACATTTTGTTCATCAATAAGCAGAATAACTACAATGGATTAAAATACATAAAACATATTTAAATCTAGATGCATAATGACAAAACAATTCAAGGGAAGACAGAGAACAAATTCATTATTCTAAGAATTATTATAATAAATAAGGGAAAAGAAGCAAGCATTTATTCTGCCTTTCTTATACAAACTATACTTCAGCATAACCAAACAGATGATGAGGGGAAAGTTCTTTACAGAAGTATTCTAGTTCATAAGTGAAAAATAATGTCACCATTTTGCAACCACTACTAAAATATGGGTTGCTAAATTTATTAGTGAAAAGCTGACAGAAAACCTTAAGGATAGATTAGGCTGGCAATACCTGAACTCCCTTTAATATCACAAAAACAGAAAAAACCAACACGTTATGTCCTCCTGATGTGATGCAACTATTTTTTTATAGTCTTACCTTCCTTTCTCAACCTCAGATTACTTTGAAGCAAATCCCAGACATCATGTTATTTCATTTTAAATATTTCAGTGTGTGTCTCTAAAAAATAAGGACTCTTAAAAAGGTAGCCAACTGTCATTCATTCTCTAATTTCTCTTACCTCCTCTTTCTGCATTCACAGCTGACTCCACTGAATCAACACAAACTTCCATGAGAAATCCATTTGCTGCTCCTAAAATAGATGGAGAACGGTAAGAGTTCATAAACGCTCTATCCATCCAGACCAATTGACCACAAAGGGTTTACATTTTGCTGCCAAAATGCAAATGTCCAATAATAGGCAAATAGGTAAGTACACTAGGGCCCATGAATGCAATAAAATATCACATTAATTATTGAATTGATGCCTGTAGACTGAAATAGGCTCACTGACAGATGTATAAAAAATTATACTGAGGAAAATGTATATTGAATACCAAATTAATCTTCCTAAAACATAGACCTCATCATCACATTCCAGCTAAGATTCTTACAATGTTTCTCAATGTCTGCAAAATATATTTAAACTTCTTTATAAGGAATATAGGTTTAAAAGCAGGACAGACTTCAAATCCACGTCCCACCAACTATTTATTGTGAGATCCTAGATAAGTTACTTAAGTTTCCTATAAAACAACTTACCTCAGAGTAGTGAGGATTAAATGAGATAATTCATGTAAAGTATGCAGTCTCAAGAATCAAAAAGTAAGCCAAGCACGGTGGCTCACGCCTGTAATCCCAGCACTTTGGGAGGCCTAGGACAGTGGATCACGAGGTCAGAAGATCACGACCATCCTGGCTAACATGGTGAAACCCCGTCTCTACTGAAAATACAAAAAATTAGCCAGGCACGGTGGCGGGTGCCTGTAGTCCCACATACTCCAGAGGCTGAGGCAGGAGAATGGCGTGAACCCGGGAGGTGGAGCTTGTAGTGAGCCGAGATCGCACCACTGCATTCCAACCTGGGCGACAGAGCGAGACTCTGTCTCAAAAAAAAAGAATCAAAAAGTATTACTTATCTGGCTGGGTGTGGTGGCTCATGCCTGTAATCCCAGCATTTTGGGAGGCCAAGGCGGGTGGATCACATGAGGTCAGGAATTGGAGACCAGCCTGGCCAACATGGTAAAACCCCATCTCTACTAAAAATAGAAAAATTAGCCAGGCATTGTGGCATCCGCCTGTAATCCCGGCTACTTGGGAGACTAAAGCATGAGAATCGCTTGAATCCGGGAGGTGGAGGTTGCAGTGAGCCAAGATTGTGCCACTGCACTCCAGCCTGGGTGACAGAGCGATACTGTCTCATTCCTTCTTATGCTTTCAGACCTCTCCAGTCCCTACCGCTGGCTCCTCAATGCCTTCTCCGCAACCCAGAGTTCCTTCTGGCTCCATCTTTGAATAAAATTTTCCAAGGAACATTTCCATGATTTTTTTCTCTCTCCCAAAGTAGAAAATTTTATGTCTCTCTTTTGAACTCATTTAACTCTTCATGAGTTATGAAACCCCAATTGTTCCTTCTTAAAATATGAATTACTTTCTACCTTTTATTATTTATGGAGATAAATATCTGATCACTTTTACTCGACTTAGAGTTCGTAAGTTGTTGTTTTTTTTTTTTTTTTTAATAGTCTTGCTCTGTCGCCCAAGTTAGAGTGCAGTGGCATGATCTCGGCTCACTGCAACTTCCACCTCCTGGGCTCAAGCAATTCTTGTGCCTCAGCCTCCTCAGTAGCTAGGACTACAAGTATGTGCCACAATACTCGGTTAATTTTGTATTTTTTGTAGAGACAGGGTTTCGCCATGTTGCCCATGCTGGTCTCAACCTCCTACACTCAAGCGATCTGCCAGTCTCGGCCTCCCAAAGTGCTGGGATTACAGGCATGAGCCACCACGTCTGGCCTAAGTAAGGTCTTCATGTGAGAAATCTTTATCATCACCCACACCAAGCACAGTATCTACCATGGTACACAATAATCAAATATTTACTAAAAGCTGAATAATTACAACAAAATTAATGTACTTATATTACAAAGTGTGATGTAAACAGAGTTTTGAGTTTTTTTCCAGGAGCACATAATTTTAAAAAATGAACAAAACAATGCACACTTCACGCAATGACATTTAATAAATGTTCTTCACATACTGGTAACGGCCACTTCTGGTGGGGCGTGATTTGAAATTATTTTTATTTTCTTTTTACTTTTCTTTATTGCTTTATTTTTTCTACCTAATATTGCTTTTATAATTTAAAAAAGCAATTTTTACTTTGAAAAAGAAATAAAACAAAAACCTATCATCTGCTAACATCAGACTGCAACTGCCTTATGCCTTACTTAAGTCCCTGCCGGACGCGGGGGCTCACGCCCATAATCCCAGCACTTTGGGAGGCCGAGGCAGGCGGATCACCTGAGGTCAGGATTTTGAGACCAGCCTGGACAACATGGCAAAACCCCATCTCTACTAAAAGTACACAAATTAGCTGGGCGTGGTGGCAGGCGCCTGTAATCCCAGATACTCAGGAGACTGAGGCAGGAGAACTGCTTGAACCTGGGAGGCAGAGGTTGCAGTGAGCCGAGATCAGGCCACTGCACGCCAGCCTGGGCGACAAGAGCGACTCCGTCTCAAAAAACAAAACAAAACAAAAACAAAAAAGATGATCGGTCTCAAACTCAAAAAGGGTTAAGTGTCAACCTATGCTCTTAACCAACAGCTCTGCATTAACTCCATGAGTTTCCTGATAGCTCCCGGACCAGCTGTCAGATCAGTGGCACTGGCCGATGCTGATGCTGCCGGGTGACTATTTGCCTTACATAAGAAAGGACCCTAGGCAGGAGAAGATGAAGAGATGTTTAAAAAAGGTTATGACAGAAGGCAGAGCAAGGCAGTTCTCCCAAGCAACAAAGTTATAGAGATTAAAGGAGAAGCAGCAGCAGCTCTCAAAGTGTAGTACACTTCAGGTAGCTTTGGGGGCCTCTGAGACTTTTCAGCGTCTGTAGGGTGACAACCATTTTCATAATACTAAGACTTTATTCGCCTTTTTCACTTTAATTCTCTCACAAGTGAGAGGCATTTTCTTTTTTGAGACAGAGTCTTACTCTGTCACCCAAGATGGAGTGCATTGGCGCAATCTCGGCTCACTGCAAGAGGCTACTGGACATGTTAGACTGAATGAAGCAGTGGGTATGAGAATCCAGCTGTCTTCCATTAAGACATATTGAAGAAACTTGCAAAAATATAAAATATTCCCACTCTTTTTTGATTTTTTTGTTTAGGAACATTTCTTTTTCACAAAATATGTGAACGTGTAATGGGCTTACTATGGTTATTTTCTAATCTATCAATCGATGAATATTTTAAATTTTTGTTTTAATTTATTTTTATTTTTTGAGACGGAGTCTCGCTGTGTCGCCCAGGCTGGAGTGCAATGGCGTGATCTCACCTCACAGCAACCTCCGCCTCCTGGGTTCAAGTGATTCTCCTGCCTCAGCCTCCCGAGTAGCTGGGATTACAGGCGCCTGCCAACACGTCTGGCTAATTTTTGTATTTTTAGTAGAGATGCGTTTCGCCATGTTGGCCAGGCTGGTCTCGAACTCCTGACCTCAGGTGATCTGTCTGCCTTGGCCTCCCAAAGAAAAATTTGTTTTAATTTCTAATACAGTCAAAATCGATAGATGTAATCCACATAAAGATCTTTGAGGATCTCGGTAACTTTTAGGAAGGTAAAGGAGTCCTGAGGTCATCGTTTGGAGGAACCAAGAGTTCACGGAGGAAGAGGAAGAGGGACTTGCCAAATTCTCTGACACCTGCCATGCCATCCTACCCTGGCACTCAGGAAGAACTCGGGACTTGGAGCAGCCACAAGCTCGGCCACTTCGTAGCTGCGTGGCTTTAGGGACTATGCCCCGTCCCCGCCGTGGCAGCTACAGTTAACTGTAGGTTAGGAACTGGGCTCCGCGCTCGACAATTAACTAACCCAGCGGAGTACTGGCTGCTGGTGCGGGGGGTACTGGCATCCTCGTGTGGCGACGGATAAAACGTGAAGCTGAAGTTAACCAACTTGCACAGGGTCGCCCGGCCGTTATGTGGGGACCCCGGGACTCGAACTTTGGCTCCACAGCCGAGCCAATCTTGCTACCTGCCCCTCGTCACGCCCTCCGTTTCCACACCTTTAACGCTTCAAAAATAGAAGGTGCCGCCCAAGTGGCTGGAAGGAGCTGAGGAAACGACTCCAGAAGAAATCACCACTGACCGCGACTCCCGCCGGCCCGCCCCGGGGAGCCGAGTCGGCCGACCGTCCCCTCCCCCGCCACCTTCCGCACCGGCCTTCCCGGACGGTATCCGCGCCCGTTTCCGCTCAGAGGAAGCCCCCTGCCTCTTCATGCTCCACGCGTTCTTCCTCGTGCGCCTGCAGTTTCCACTTGGAGTTTGGGATCCTGCGCGCACGAGCAAACAAGCTAGTCAACAGCTGCGCGCGCCCCTGCGCGCATCCCCGACGCCTACGCCCCAGCAGCCCCCGCGAAAGCGAAGTCGCAACGCAGGCGCACTTCTGTTCACTCCGGTCCCCAGAGAAGGCGGGGTTCCCGCTGCCCGACCCGGAAGTGCTTCTCTTTTCCGTGGCGGAGAAAGGAGACCTCAGAGCTCTGGGTTGTGGAAGAGGTGGCCGTGCAGTGTCATCAGTATGCAGCGATTGCTCTTTCCGCCCTTTAGGGCCTTGAAGGGGAGGCAGTGTCTGCAGCTCTTGGCTCCTAGGGCAGCGCTTAGAGCACAGGTACCGCACTGCAGCGGACTCCGAGTCGCGTGAGCGGGGATGGAGTGAAAGGGCCGGGATAAAGATGATGGAGAGCCCCACATCACGTTTCCGGAGCTCCTTACAGTTTACTCACAACGCATTTCCTTGTGTTCAGAGCCCCTAGGTTCAGATCTGGACCATTGACCTGCTGTGTGGTATTGGCCAAGTTAATTAAACTTTCTGTTCATCGATTTCCTTATCTGTAAAATGGGGATAACAATACCTACTTTAAGGTTTGTTATGAGGATTACATTCTTTAATATACATCAGGCCTTTAGCACATGGTAAAAGCTTAGTAATTTTTACCCTTATAGTTTATTTTTGCTTAAAAAGTTCCAAGTAGTCAGGTGAGGAAGTGTAACTGCATTCTACAGAGAAGGAAATTGAGGCTTAAAGTTACTTTTCTAAAAGTGATTCAGTTAATCAGAAGTAGGAAACTGAGCATGAATCTTTGGACTCATAGGGGTATAGTCAGAAGAGGGCATGCATTTGCTTAACTAGTAATTATTGAGTGGTTATTATATATTAGGAACTGGAAAAAGAAAGATAAATATTATAAGACTCCTGCCCTGGAGGAAGTCAGTTTATTCATTTGTGAAATCTTTATCATGGTCTCGTTATATAAAGGAACAGTGTTAGAAACAAAGGTAGCAGAAGGGAGAGAGCAAGACTGACCAGACACTGCTACCCCAAAGCTCATAGTTTAGTGGGAGATACAAACAGATGAAACTGAAGGGACAGCGATGTGTTGCATAACAACATTTTGGTCAACAATAGGCCACAGATACAGTCATGGTTCCGTAAGATTATAACAGAGCTGCCTTTCCAAGTGTACCTTTAAAAAAAAAATCTTTTTCTCTAAATTTCTTTTTTAGAGACAGGGTTTTACTTTGTCACTCAGGCTGGAGTGCAGTAGCATGATTATAACTCACTGCAGCCTCCAACTTGGAAATCCTGGGCTCAAGCATTCTCTTGCCTCAGTCACTTAAGTAGCTAAGACTACAAGTGTGTGACACTGTGCCTAATTTTTAAAAAAATGGAGACGGGGGGTCTTGCTATATTGCCCAGGCTGGTCTTGAACTACTGGCCTCAAGTGATCCTCTCACCTTGGCCTCCCAAAGCCTTGGAATTGTAGGCATGAGCCTTTGCACCTGGCCCCATTTTTAAATATTTTATATCATATTTTTACTGTAATTGTTCTATGTTTAGATAAACAAATACCATTGTGTTACAGTATTTGGTACGTAACATGCCATACAGATTTATAGCCTAAGAGCAATAAGTCATACCATATACCTCAGGGGTGTAGTAGGCTGTATCATCTAGATTTCACTAAGTACTTCTTTTTTTTTTTTTTTTTTGAGAGGTGGAGTCTCGCATCAACGCATAGGCTGGAGTGCAGTGGTGAGACTGGCTCACTGCAGCCTCCGCCTCCCAGGTTCAAGTGATTCTGCCATTTCAGCCTCTCAAGTAGCTGGGATTACAAGTGTACGCTACCACGCCCAGCTAATTTTTGTATTTTTGGTAGAGATGGGGTATCACCGTTTTGGCCAGGCTGGTCTTAAACTCCTGACCCAAGTGATCTCCCTGCCTCGGCCTCCCAAAGTGCTGAGATTACAAGTGTGAGTCACCACACCCAGCCTTTAGATTTGTGTAAGTACATTCTGTGAGGTTCACACAATGATGAAATTGCTTAAGAACGCATTTGGCAGAACATGTGCCCCTGTTGTTAAGTGATGCTTGACTATACATTACAGTGTATTAAGGGCTGTCCAGTGTGCTGTGGGAGTGACCTATTGCAGACCTTAAAGAGCCTGGGAACAATCCCAGAGGAGGTGACATGTAAGCAGAGATCTGCAGTAGGTATTATTAATCAGGCGAAAGGAAGTGTACAAGCCAGGAAGAAATGTTTAAAGACCTAGAGGTGAAAGAAAATATTCCATATCTGTAAGTAGAGTGAAGTCTGAGGGAAGTATTCAGAGATGAGAAAATTCGTGTAGTTGGGGATAGGTTTGAGTGAGGCTAGATTTGAAACCAATTGGAAAACCAGCTGGAAGGTTGATGCAGTAATCCAGATAAGAGATGATGACTTACCAAGACATAGCTGTGGGGATGCTACGGTACTTCACCCTAATCAGAATGGGGTTGAGTGTGGGTAGCAGCCATTCCCTGTTTATCCAGTTGTAATTTGTCTATCTTGATCTTTAGTGTGATTGCATCAGGCGCCCTTTGAGGCCAGGGCAATACAGCACCATCTCTGAAGTAGCTTTGCAATCTGGAAGGGGTACAGTGTCTCTTCCCTCAAAGGCTGCCGAGCGGGTGGTGGGCCGATGGCTCCTGGTCTGCAGTGGAACAGTGGCTGGAGCAGTTATTCTTGGTGGAGTAACTAGGTGAGTAATTTGCTCATAGTGAGTCAGGTATTTTGATCATAAGTAGAAGCACAGGTTGACTGAGGAGAAAGGAATTTTTTTTTTTTTTTGAGACAGAGTCTTGCTGTGTCGGCCAGGCTGGAGTGCAGTGGTGTGATCTCGGCTGACTGCAACCTCCGCCTCCTGAGTTCAAGCGATTCTCCTGCCTCAGCCTCCCAAGTAGCTGGGACTAGGCACATGCCACCATATCCGGCTAATTTTTTGTATTTTTAGTAGTGACAGGGTTTTACCATGTTTGCCAGGCTGATCTCGAACTCCTGACCTCAGGTGATCTGCCCACCTCGGCCTCCCAAAGTGCCAGGATTACAGGCATAAGCCACCGCGCCCAGTTGGAGAAAGGAATTTTACAGAGCATCTAGTCTAGCTCCCTTATTGTACAGATGGAAAAACCGAGGCCTTAAAGAAGGAACACGTCTGATGGCTTGCCCTGCTATAGAATATTTAAGTGTTTTATTAGTAGGAGCCTTCTATAAAGACTGGTTTATATCTTAACTGGTACCTGTGCATTGTTTATGTATCTTTTGTCTTTCAATCAGAGTCCAAGTTTGTCTCAAAACTTTTTTTACGGTTTGTTTGAATTAAACCCAAAGAAGTTCTGTGCATCACAATTGGTTCATGTTTCTTAGGTTCATTAAAATCTTTAAAGAGACTATAGATTTAGATATTCCTCCCTTTCCCCCTCTTTTAGTTGCTGAGGAAACTCGAGTCATTTGTCCTATGGTTATGCACAGTCTAGATTTTGCTGATTGCATAACCATGTGATATTTAACATGTTCCTTTATCCCCTCTACTTCCTGTGAATGAGTAGTTTGATCAGATTCAAATTGGGGATGAGGGAGCAAAATACTTCAATAGATGAATAGAACATTCATGAATATCTGATGTGTATTATAGATGTTAACAGCCATTAATTACCATCGCCTGGATCCATTTTCATTAGCATAGTAAAATTGTAACATTTTACTAGCTCAACTCTAAAAAGCTTTCCCTCATCATCAATCTGGATATCCCAAGGTATAATTTGTATAGGAAAGGCAGGATAAATACTTAATTCTTCTTTCCCTTTATTTACCAATTTTCAAAATAATAAATTGGTCCCCCAAATCCTCCAAAGGCAACAAATAAAGCATTTGGATTTTTAAGGCTTATTATGAGATCATAGGTTCAAACACACTTGATAATGTTTCAGTTTGTTGTGATGATGGTGTTAGTGATTTGCTCAGATTGTCCCATCTTTAGTCAGTGGGCATCTCCTGAAATTGGCTCCAGTGACTTTTTGGCAGGGCCCTAATTACCTTTGATAGCTTCCTTCCTTTCTAGCATGACAAGATATTCCAAGCTCATCTTGTACATTTCTTGCCTCAGGCCTAAAATCAGCCTTTTACTTTAGGAATCCTAACTCCTTTTGGTGAAAAAGTTTCTGGTTTTAATCAAATATACCTTCCTCAAATTCTCTTCACATTCCACGTCCCTTATTTCAAAATACCTTATGTGTTATATAGGTTGTTATGAGCAAGTGCAACAAATTTGAATGTATTGTCTTTAAATTCACCCAAGAATCTAAACCGGTATACATGTAACAGATCTCTTTTCCTTGGGTAAGGAATGTTGGTTATGCATTTAGAACAGATTGCTTTGGCTGTAGGGGTTGAGTTTGCCTGTCAAGGAATGCTAGTGGAACAAAGAATTGGGAAAAACAATAAAAAAGAAAGAAAAGGATTGAGAGAATATAAGGGTAAATAAATTTGTACCTGATGGCAGCTGTTTCTGACAAAATTCTAAGCAGTAAGAGAGAAATGTCTCAAAAGAGGAAACAATTGTGTTTACCTTTAACGAGGTTAAGTTCAGATCCACTTGTTGCTATAAACCTTTTGTGAGTAATCCAGCCTTACACATACACCCCAACATTTCTTTCCCATCCTAAGGCTGACAGAGTCTGGCCTCTCGATGGTAGATTGGCATTTAATAAAGGAGATGAAGCCACCTACAAGCCAAGAGGAATGGGAAGCAGAATTCCAAAGATACCAGCAATTTCCAGAATTTAAAATGTAAGTATGAAAGAACATTAGGTAAACATCCCAGTAGGCCCATTTGATCTTTTGCGCTTAAACCCTTCAGAATGGTTAGATTATTTCATGATCTTTGGTTCAGTTATGTTTAGTCAGCTTCTCTTCTAAGCCTCCAAATCCAAAGTCATCCTGAGGTCGTTGATGAGGAAGAGGGGCAGACCTACCAAGTTGCAGGACTGAGAAAGAAAGTTTTTGCATTCCATAAGAAAATAAAAATCAGAAGGATGTTTCCTCCTTCTTCTTTTTTGACTTTCCATTTCACTCAGCTTGAATCATGATATGACACTGACAGAATTCAAGTTCATCTGGTACATGGAGTACTCACACCGAATGTGGGGTCGCCTTGTAGGCCTTGCGTACATCCTGCCTGCTGCCTACTTTTGGAGAAAGGGCTGGCTCAGCCGTGGCATGAAAGGACATGTTCTTGCCCTCTGTGGCCTCGTCTGCTTCCAGGTAAGATTTATTCGAGGTTGAGAAACTAGACATGCTCCCAGGAGCTTCCTAGTTGGCATTTTTTTTTTTTTTTTTTTTTTTTTTTTTTTTTTTTTTTTTTTTTTGCGACAGAGTCTCGCTCTGTCGCCCAGGCTGAAGTGCAGCTCTGCCTCCCGGGTTCACGCCATTCTCCTGCCTCAGCCTCCCGGTAGCTGGGACTACAGGCACCCGCCACCACACCTAGCTAATTTTTTGTATTTTTAGTAGAAACGGGGTTTCACCATGTTAGCCAGGATGGTCTGGATTTCCTGACCTCATGATCTGCCTGCCTCGGCCTCCCAAAGTGCTGGGATTACAGGCGTGAGCCACCGCGCCACGCCTGGCCCCTAGTTGGCATTGTTTTTAAGGAAATAATCTGAGTCACTTTAATAGAGTAGGTAAGAGCATGCATTTTAGTGTCACAGGCCTAGCTTCAAGCCCCAGCTCTGACACTTAGTAAGGTAAATTACCTAACCTCTGAAAGCTATGATTTCTTTACCTGTAAATGGGGATAATAACAGTGCCACCATGTATAGTTGTGTAAATTCTTTTTTTTTTTTTTTTTT